TGATTTTAAAATTGTACAAAATAGTTAGCATCCCTGTGTGTCTGGAGGCAATAATGCCATGGTACATGCCTGCCTTACATCGACAGCTCTTTATCGTGAGTTTGAGACTTCTTGGATACAAAATGCCTATTTTCAAAAGTTCAGTATTGTTACAGAGAGATTTATTTTGTTGTGCCTCACCCAGATGACAATAATTACTGAGCAACCGAGCAACAAATAAATAAATGGGAATTATAAAGCCCTGGTCTGCATCAGGACTTAATGAGAGACATTATTCCAGTTTCATACCCTGAGCCTCTCCAGAACTTATGGGATAAAAAAAAATAAAATAAAATAAAAATGAAATAAAGCAGAGTGCTCCATTACCGCTAATTCAATTTCTCAGCCTGTAAAATTGCTGCAAATGAATTACAGGACACAAGAGGATTAGCATAGTGTTAAGTTATTAATGGTCTGAAAGGCAAATAACAATTGAAAGGATAGGGCAGTTTAATCATCCTGAAAGTCAGCCAGGCCTTCGCTGTTTGCTATCTGCAATTGCAAAATAACACTTACCAGTTTTTGCAACGGATGTATACTGAGGCTGCTTTGTCAAAATATTGTCCTTTTTCATAGAGCTGGGCAGCTTCCGAAAATTGCTAAGGGATAAAAAAAAAAAAATAACAATACAGATTTTCAGCTTAGCATAATTCAGGCTGGCTCAGGAATTCTGGCAGCTGAATGATCCACAATCATAAAGGGATCGTAGTTCCCCACCTCCGGTTTACAGGTAGTGCTCGACTTACAATTCATTTAGCGACCGTTCGACGTTATGAGACGGCACTGAGTAAAGTGATTTATGACCGTTTTTCTCACTTACAACCCTTGCGGCGTCCCTCGTGGTCACGTGATCAAAATTTGGACCCTTGGCAACTGACTCACACTCATGACGGTTGCAGTGTCCCGGGGGCCATTTTCCTTCTTATATTTTACTCTTAGAATTAGAGTTGGAATTAGATGATACTGGGGTGGGGGGGAGGAGGAGGAATGTGCATGGGTGTTTAGTTAGACATAACAATACTGTAACTAGGGTGAGAACCAAGGTTTTTTGAAATAAGAGATGATAAGAAATGGCGGGTTGGAGAACTGGAGGGAAAGCCTGCATTTCAAGCTAATTGGAGAATGTGATTTGTGACTGTTAACTGGAGGAGGGAATTGTGCTTTGATGCTATGTGCTCAGGGGAGGGGAATTCAGATTTTGGCTTTGGCTATGTACGTGCCGATGCTATGCTACTCGAATAAAAGATTCTTTAAGGTAAACAATGCCTCAAAGTTCTTTGAAGAGTTTCATCTGTTGGAACCAGGACAGCAACTGTGGTCTACCTCTATCGCAGTGCATTAGCTACCTTCATGCTCTCCAAAATAGCCCCACAGTCCTTTTTTAACGTTCTGCTCGGGTGCTTGATGGCCTGGTTAAC